TTGTTTTTTAGTGTTCCACACCTTTGAAACTAAACTTAGAGATCTCTGAAACGGAAGACTTCAGTCAGGGCTTCAAAATAATAATTTTTCTACATTAAATAATGTTGACAATTATAACCGTCATGAATTTGTCTGCTGATTTTTTATGTCACTAATGTAGAATAGACTGAATTTCAGTCTCATGAACAATAATTTGTAATGAAAGCAAGTTAGATGATAAAAACATGTTTTTAGGACTTGAAATACATTAAAACACTCCGAGATGGTGGCAACCAGTTCTGACATTTCTATTGGTTTCAATCGTGAAAGTCATTAAATGCAAGTTAATGGGTTTTTATAGTCTGCCTTTATGTTTCAATAACAAAAAATCAGGGACCTGAATTGTGCCACTTTCTTTGAAAAATAACAAGCAACTAATAAAAAATCAAATCCCTTCTCTGTTTCACACTTTACTACAAAAGAAAAACAATGCTAAAAGTCTTATTTACCACATAAACTTGCCCTTTAGTTTAGGACTAAATAACAAAAGACAAATCCTAAGATAGTTTCTTCTGCCCTTTGTGTCTGAGAACAGTTCTAACAGCTCTGAACTTGTTAGCGGCACAGACACTGCAGTGTGAGCGATGAGAAAGAAGAGGGCTGTGCCCCAGCTGCCTTCCTCATGAAGACTTGCATCTTCAGACGCTTGTTAGTTTTCTAAAGCTGGGCGGACACTGTGCGACTTTTTCACTCGTAGCACTCAGCTTCAGCTCAAACTGTACGACTTCCTCGCAGGGCAGATCTCACGAGTCATGTGGTCACACTGCACGACCCAGTTCTCAGATGCGACCTGACTGCTCACACTGTACGTCTGGTAGCAACACGTCGGACCTAAAAATATGCCAAAAATAGCCGTTTTTACACAACACGTCGGACTATTTTTTTGTGTTGTTTTGCCTGTTGTCCTTCAGGAGCGCAGCAGGAGGACACACAGGGGTTTATGGGGATTGGATGAGGAAAACAAAATAAAGAAAGTAAATCTGTGTTTTGTGATCAGTTTAATTTGACATGAACATAACGAACACGCTTTCTTGACAATCCTTGCCATTGTGTGTAAAAGACGTGTAAAAATAAAAATGAACAACGTGTGTTATAAGGGAAATAGCAGGTGAGTGGTGTTGACGCATGATTGAGCATGCATCCTGAGCGGTTCTGGTACTTTTTGGGTCACAGCCGCTCGCTACGCCTCTTCAACCCTCACAAGGAACGAGCAAAATTTCCAACACCCCAGTAGTCCGTGCGAGCTCACGATTGCTGATCGGTAGCTGGTCAGGCGGTGTTAATCGCCTCTCGTAATCCCCTGTACACTACACGACGCTCAGCGCATAATCGCCCCGATCTTGTGGATTCTAGCACGAGTGGAAAATCGGCTCAAAAAAGTGAAAAAGTCGCACAGTGTCCGCCCGGCTTCAAAGGGCCACAGACTACTTAGGAATATTAAACAGGACATGTCTGAAATCGAAAGAATTTTGGGAGAGTGGGATGCCTGGAAACACTTTGATGGTATACATCACTCAATCTCTGGCAGATATGACTGAGTGAAAAAATAAAGAGAGACGAACAAAGAAGCTCTGGGGGAGGAGGCAGGCAAAGGGTTTGTCATCTCCCCTCAGAGTACTGCATATGCATATATCATTATTCCTCAATCAGAGAGCCCTGCTCTTAAAATGTCAAGACTTCTGATGGAAAACATGGAGGTAGAAATGGGAGCGCAAAGGGGAAATGGGACATAAAATATTAGAGGTCATTTCATCTCATCAAGTAAACCTGCTTCTCACTTTAAGTGATGCACAAATGCAGGAAATGTTTAAATGGTTATTAAAACAGTGAATAGCTGCTGTTTCAATCCACTCAAAATTAGAATCAACTGCCTCTTTCTGGAAAAGGATGAAGCTGAATATCGGGGGAAAACAGAACCAAACTTTGTCATGTAAATGCAACAGGGCGTAGAAGATAGCCTTTATGATCGTCCTGAAAGGAAAATAGGAATGAAGTGGAAGGGATTAGGGCTGATATGGCCTCAAATCTATATTGCAATATAATCTGAAGCATGTGCGATTATGATATATACCGCAATACATTTTTCTTTGTTTATGTCAAAATGACATGCTTTAAAATAATTCTCATATAGAAAATATATTGCGGCAAAATAAAGACGTCCAAAAAGTGTAGAATGCTCATCCTCTTCCCGCTAGGGCTGGGGGTAAACGATTATTTTTAAAGCGATTATTCTGACGATTATTTTATCCAATAGTTGACTATTCTAATGACTATTTACACAATTAATCTAATGATTATTTTTCTATTGCAGTTAATAAAAACCAAAAAATCTCTAATAAATTCCTCAAAAAAATTGATAAATTCTTACTGTAAGAGAATAAACACTACAGGCCTTCCATTTTGTATAACACTGCTTTTATTGTGTTGCGGTTGGTTATGTTCTGGTGACGTGTAGAACTTGGGAGTGCAGGCTGCTGCCTGAGAGGTGGTTGGAGACGGAGTGTCTCCATGCTGCTTTGTTTTGGTCACTTAAGTGCGTGAGGGGAGTGGTGTTATGACCCTTCCTGGGGAGTTTGGCTCGTGTGCAAAAAGGAAGGGACAATAACGGGATTTAAAAGTTAAAATGATTATCAGGTTTATTTACAACTACAAAAAAACATAAATCTTTCCATCTACAGGTTGGGAGTAATAAAACTAATTCTGCCTGTGGGGAATTAAAACAAATAAGTAGGGATGTCCCACTGGGCAAAGATTACAGGGTTCTGGACCAAAATAAGTTTCTCCGAAGGTCCAAACTCTAAACAGGGCGGTTAAACCAAACTCAAGGTGATATTTTAAACTAAACCGAAAACCCACAACACTCTAAATGTAATAAATCAAAACGTAACAGCTTATCCAAACGCAAGAAGCTGTTAGCGAAAATGTAAAACAGTGAAAATGAAAACCAGTAGCTTTACCAACGTTAAGTTCAAGTTACCAAGTTTAAATAAACCAAAAACACCCAGCAGCAAGCAGACCAGCACAGAGGAGGGACTGCTACCACCAAAACAGCTCTCCTAATGTCTGAAAGAAGCTCCTTTATGAAGGGAGAAACGCTCCCGGTGATTTTCCACATCTGTGTTAGAGACAGAGCAGCGCATCTGACCCCGGAAGTTGTTGTCCGTTGCCGGGAGACGAAGGCGGGCAAAACAGGAAAGGAACCTAGTAGCGGACGGACATTGTTCCGGGTCTTCGATATTTGGCGGAGATGTTAGTGAAGGCGGAGAAGAGGGCGAACTAGAGGAAAAAAAAGGCAGATTCCTCCTCTATTTAAAAACTCCTGGGTATGCAACAAGTGGGCGTGGTGCATCGACTACCGGATCTAACGTCGGCAAATTTTTAGAATCGAGCCATCGATGTCATTGAGGCTTTGCTACAGCCCTACTTCCCGCTACATGCTTGTAGTCACTGCCATTCTGTAGTTCCAATGTTGGTGCGGGTGCGCATCTTAGTGACATCATGTGTTATCGCAATATCGCGGTAGAGCCAAAAACGTATCATTACCCAATTTTATATCGTTTCTACCTTATATCGTTTATATTGCCCACCCCTAGAAGGGATGATCCTGTTTTTGAGGTGAAGAAAAAAAAACTGCAGTGGAACCAGGCAGCTAGATGAACAATTATGATGTGTTATATCCAACAATCTTGGCAAAAATTCTTGCTGGAACATTAAGATTCCTGTAAAAGATTGAATAACAACAACCTTCTTGTGTGTCCATGTGAGCCTCTTTTAGATAAACACCGATTTAACAGCCGCACTCCCGTTGCAATGAGAAAATTGACCCTCACTCTGCAGGGAGATGAGATTTAGCCTGATAACCTGTCCCATGCAACATGCCTTTACTTCAATCACAGCTGGTTGTTTTTTTATTTTCCCCCAGGGACTGTTTCCCATCAGGTGGCTCTAATCTGGTCTTTGTAAGGACGAAAAAATTTGCAGTCATTGTTTTACAAAGAAAGAAAATAGTCAAAACCTAAAAACTGATTGCAGAGGTAGAAAGGGCAGCTTGAGATTTTATATGTAAAGCACCTCGGCATGCACAGTTGAAGAATTTCCAGAAATGTCAAAAGTCTGTAGGGCATCCAGCAACAAGGCTGAGTGTGTGTGGCAGTAAAGATGAGATATGTTCAGAGCAAAAGCCCTGAGGTGTTTTCAAAAAATTTCTTTTTTAAGCTGACCTCGTCTTTACTTTGTTCTGCAGGTTTAACTCTAACTGGCTTTTCAAGCAAATTATTGCTCTCATTGGGGTAGCAGAGTCCTGCCAATCTTCTGCTGTCTCTTGGATGTAATTGTGTGAGGATGAATCTGTATCTTTCTGCAGCATTTAGGCCTTTCCCATCTCTTTCAGTTTGACCTGACATGAAATACAATTCTCTAGCAGCACTGAAATAGGCTGAACAACAATTATGCCACGAGTTACCAGTGAATTCAATCAATCCAAGTGTGTACTTTTCCAGATTTATCGATTGCATTAAAAAGGTCCTGTAAGGTCTATAATGCAGTTTACAAGTCTATCCTTTTGTAATTCAGTTTGTAATCCAGAGCGTCTATGTGACTTGGATTTCACACCTTTGGCCAAATACCCACTGGAACCATTTGAGTAAGAAATAATATAAGAAAAGTAATGTAAATGTTATACAACAAAGGTCTGATTGCATTCTTTGTGCTGCTGGTGAATATTATGAAAGTCTCGCAGGTAAACAAAGATGCGGAATGAATGCTGAAAGATTACCAAATCCCTGGAAATTATAAACTTGATCAAAGCTACATTTACATAGCCAGGTAAACGATTCTATATTTGTTCAATAATAATTTGGCCTTGATCCAAATAACGGCTTTCAGCAGTGGGGAGGGATCTATGGTTGTCTTTCAAACTGTCCCCACATGCTATTGTATAACAACCAACATGACATACTCACCGCTACAGATGTCAGTCAACGAGGCAGTACGCCAAAGAAGATTTATACATCCTTTTTCTGAATAAACGAGTTCTTCTTTCTGCTTTTGACAAAAAAAAAAGCTCAAATCAAAACAGTCCAAAGTGTAAGCCAAAAATGTTTGAAATTTGCAGTCACCATCTCTGTTTTTTCAGTAACATCCCACCCACCAAGTGCTGTGACTGGCCCACCAAACCAATAGAGCACTGTGATTGGACATTTCGCCCACCAACAGAGTGCTGTGATTCGACCGCTACGGACATCGGTCAGCGGGACAGTACGCCATTACATCGTGGAAAACTACATAAAACATTTAAAAAAAGAAAAAAACAATACATTGTTTTTCTGAATAAACGTACTGTAATTGGTCAACTACAATACTGGCTGGGCTTGCAGAAGTTCCATTGGAGCATTTCTAGACCAAAACGCAAAGCAAAATAATTTTTGCTTCGGCAAATGACGGTCTAGATTCTAGGCTAACATATACACTCTCCTTTAGAAATCTCAGTTATTGCGAGACATGACATTGAAGTAAAACGAACTGGTGCATATATATAAATATGTATATATATTTGTTTTTGGTTTTTTTTTTGTTTTTTTTTTTTTACTCGTCGTTGTCTTCCTCCGCTCATCTGGGTCCGGGTCGCGGGGGCAGTATCCCAACAAGGGAGCTCCAGACCGTCATCTCCCCGGCCACCTGCAACAGCTCCTCCGGCAGGACCCCAAGGCGTTCCCGGACCAGATTGGAGATGCAACTTCTTCAACATGTCCTGGGTCGACCCGGGGGCCTCCTGCCGGCAGGGCATGCCCGAAACACCTCCCGAGGGAGGCGTCCAGGAGGCATCCTGACCAGATGCCCAAACCACCTCAACTGAATTCTTTCGATCAGGAGGAGCAGCGGTTCTACTCAAAGTCCCTCCCGAATGTCCGAGCTCCTGACCTTATCTCCAAGGCTGAGCCCGGCCACCCTACGGAGGAAACTCATTTCGGCCGCTTGTATTCGCAATCTTGTTCTTTCGGTCATTACCCAAAGCTCATGACAAAGCTCAGCGTCCGCATCACTGCAGACGCTGAACCAATCCGCCTGTCGATCTCCCGATCCCTCCTACCCTCACTCGTGAACAAGACCCCGAGATACTTAAACTCCTCCACTTGAGGTAGGACCTCTCCTATGACCAGGAGTTGGCAAGCCACCCTTTTCCGGTCGAGAACCATGGTCTCAGATTTGGAGGTGCTGATCATCATCCCAGCTGCTTCACACTCGGCCGCAAACCTATCCAGCAAGAACTGAAGGTCAGAGCTGGATGAAGCTAGGAGGACCACATCATCCGCAAAAAGCAGAGACGAGATTCTCCTGCCACCAAACTCGACACTCCATACGACGGCTGCGCCTAGAAATTCTGTCCATAAAGGTAATGAACAGAACTGGTGACAATGGGCAGCCCTGGCGGAGTCCAACCCTCACCGGGAACAGGTCCGACTTACTACCGGCTATGCGGACCACACTCATGCTCCTCTGGTAAAGGGACTGAATGGCCCTTAACAGAAAGCCACCCACCCCATACTCCTGGAGCGTCCCCCACAGGGTGCCCCTGGGGATACGGTCATAAGCCTTCTCCAAATCCACAAAACACATGTGGATTGGTTGAGCAAACTCCCATGCCCCCTGCATCACCCTTGCAAGGGTATAGAGCTGGTCCACAGTTCCACGGCCAGGACGAAAACCACTCTTATTTATTTAGCAGCATTTCTTCATAAATGTATAAAAAAGGCAAAGCAGCTTACTTTTGTTTTTTCAAAGACTAAAGTGACAATCCAAGTGACGTTTCTTGAACAAAAAACAAATCCCCTTTAATCAAATCACAAAATTAAAAAGCTACTGACCAAATTTGAGAAGATTTTAAGAAATGTCCAGCTCTCTGTTCTTTATTGTGTAACAGCAACTGACCAAAACTTCTGGTGATGTATAAATAAACCAGAATACAGCCAAGTAATTCACCTATGGGAGAAAAGGCAAAGCCAATACAAAAGGCAAGTTGATTTTAATACCTTCTTCTGTAAGACACCTTCCTGTCATACCTAAAATGTCTTTTATTCATGTGGTAATAACTGAATGATTGAGTGGTCTTGATGTGATCAGAAAGCCAAATTTTAAATCAAGAGCACCTGACCTGAATTTCATCATTGGGGTGTGGCCTAAATTACCAAATCAATGCATTAACCTGCTCACAATTGTAGACAATGATGAATGACTGGCATACATTAGCATAGCATAAATTATAGTATCCAGCTATAAACCACCATCTAACTTATGTAAGCCCCTTAGTTATAAAATGTACAAGCTATCTTCACAAAGAGTTTTTAAGACTGAAATGTTTTATTTAAAATGTATTTTTGGCAGGATTGGTTTGCCTAAAGATGTGGTTCGCTCGTTTAATCAATACAATTGCTGTGGTCTCGAGTAGGCTGTACTCTGGGAAATACGAAGCACCAGTGGGCCTGTTTCAGAAGCAAGAGGTAAGCCACAGCTGAATTTCAGGTGGCAGGATTTTGAGTCTTATTTCCTGATATTTGGATATATTGTCTCTGACTGGATAACAGCAACACGATTGGCTCAGTTTGCTCTGCAACACTGATGTTTTATTCCCACAAATAAGACAAGCCTGAAGGAGTTCTGCTGTGTGGTGTTGTCCGAAAGACCGAATCGGAACTAATATTCCGCCGGGCGAAACTAATGTCTGTTCCGTGCTTCCAGGCCGTGCCAGACTGGACATACGTCCGGTTTAACGTTGTATATGTCATGTGTGACGAATATTTGTTATATTCATGTTCACTAGTTAGTTTTCATGTTTGGTAGTCCATCAGTCGCATTTGTTATTTGTTAGCATGTTTAATAGTGTTTAAATGACTGCCGTTAGTTGCTAATGCTAAAGCTAGCCCTATGAGTTTCATGCTAAGTTGGTAACGTACCTTCAGTTACACGAGTGTCGGTTTATAATTTGTTTAGTTATCAGTGGGTGTTGGCTATGTCTTCGTTGGATTATTTAACTTACGGATGTCACTTTGTTTCTTCCTAGAAACCACACATATACATACATGTATCCTACTCCAGTTACATGAGCCTGCTGTTTAATGTCAACGCCAATAAACTCACTGAGAATACTTCTAGTTCGCCTGGCTCTCTGACCAGAACCTACTGTCCATATTGACTGCCTCAACCAGTCTGTATCCCTTTACTTGTGTAGTGCTACTACAGGTAGCGATGGGTACCGAATTTGGTACTTTTTAAAGGTACCGACCGAATTCCATAGTCCCGACTGAGCACTGATTCACGTCATTTGAAACGGTGCCTCGTTTCGGTACCCGTCCTTCATAACGAGAACTTGCCTAGACAGCTGTGCATGCGCAAGAGAGTTACGTCGTCACTGCGAGCGAGTTGTAAACAGAGCAGCATGGTAGACAGAATGCACGCTAAAGCTTGGGTCCACTTCACTAAATGTGATGGGTAACTGGGTGATGAAACCAGCGACAACGATCTAAGTGAGACATCCTCATCTTAATCTGCTCCGGTAGGTAAATAAAATGTTTAAGATAACGTTAGCTTGATATGTTAGCTTCCGTTCCGCTAATGGCGCGTTCGCTTTCTCCTCGGAACTCCGAATTTCCAGCTAGAAGAACATAAACGCCTAAAGTTTGGCTTCACTTTACTAAATGCGACGGGTGATTGGGTGAAGATGAAACCAGCGACAACGATCTAAGTGTGAGGCATCATCGTTTTAATCTGCTCCAGCAGCTAAATAAACTGTTTAAGCTTATGTTAGCTTGATAAATTAGCTTCCATTGCCACCAATGTTATTAGCTAATGGTGCGTTCGCTTTTTCCTCGGAAATTCTAACTTCCCAGTAGGAAAAATCAAATGAAAAAGGATGGCAAAAGGAATGAAGATACACAGTAAATTTTGTTCACAGTAAAGATGTTTGCTTCAGTTTAATTATCAGCTTATAAAACTACAAGGACGATGTTAAAATACAAACAGTTGTATGTTATTAATCATGATATTTATCAAATATGGTTATGTATTGAGAAAAATATATATTTAATTATAAAAGAGAATTAAAATATGAAACACTCAAAAGTATCTAAAATTGGTACTGTTAAGTACCGGTATCGATTCCTAGGTACCGTGAATTAGTACCGAATCGATTCAAATGTCAAAGGTACCCATCCCTAACTACAGGTGTGGTGGCTAATGCTAAATGTTCGTCTCGGCTAGTTGAGAAGGTTTTTTTACTTGGATGGTAAACCGACAACAGCCTTCCCTGTTTCGAGCTAAGATGAGTGAGTCCATGACTGTTAAAAGACAGTGCGACATAGATCTGTTTGGCTTTTCCATTCCTAGAGTTTCCCCGTCTTTTCTATCCTATTCTAAGCTAATGCAGGAGATCATGTATGAACCATTTTCATGTTCAGAGAGTGACTGATAATCAGATGAACCAAACCTTTACTCAAATTGTTCAGTTGACCAATTTAAAGGCACATTAAAGCAGGAGCTAAGAGGGGGGCGGCAACCACAGACACGTTACTAATAGAAATGGCTAGAAACTGCGGCAAGATGAGTTGATCTAGGTAAGTAATAATGCAAATACCCCACAAGACACACACATATTTGAATGCCACAATAGTGAAACTGAAGCTTGTTAGGCAGATACATTGGTTGTAGATAACAGTGCTGGGGATATTTCAGAGCTTAGGTTTTAAATGAAAAAGATTTGTGTCCAGAAAATCCAATAACGATTTAACAGGTCCCTTGGGCTAAGGTCAGGCCTCCTGCCCTAAAAGAAGGAAAACTTCATTTATAAGCCTAACCAAGGGTGAATGTCACAGTGGCATAGCAAAAGAGGATCACGGAATGACAATTTTGTCCATGGAAGACAAAACCGCTTTTGAGTCTGCCAGTTTTGCAATACTGAAGGAGGCTGGGTTGTAATAGTGACTATTAAAACAATTATCTAAGAAAGTTTTCATCCACATTGGACAGTAAAAATGGATGGTTGTTATGAGAGT